CAACAATCGCCAGCAGCAGCAGGCGGCGATCAACACGACGGGCGCCACCCCACCGGCCAAACGCGAGCCCCGGGGGGCGTCCGCCGCAGTCGCGCGCGGCGACGACTCCCTCCGGTCAGCCGTCGATCCTCGGCTTCTTTGCCAAGGCGAGCCCGCCGCCCCCCAGGCAGTGAATTCAACGTGTTTATGTAATTTTTCAACTTTTTACGACACTTAGTGTCCCCGAGTAGCTCTCGACGAGGCCAATCGATTGACACTAGTTTTGTTGTCGGTAAGGCAAGACTCATGTCGCTACGCAGTTTTTCCCATTTTGGGGCAGTGATGGGACCCCGGGGTCCCGCCGATTGCTTCAAATATTATTATCGCATCAGTTACAGCTGTGGAAGCGTGAGTGTAATGCTAAGGCTTTCCCTTTGATTTGAAGTAGGTTATTCTCAAGAACGACTTGTACCATAAACATGATTACTGTGCGCAAATCAATACACCAATGAACACGTTTGAATGTCAGTGGCCGCACCCTGTGGATAAATAACAATTCACAAAGCTCGTCAATCCAACCCAGTGCTTAAAACACGTTAGTTACGTACATCCCACAACATACACAGCACGCTGCACACACATACACACACCATACTGTGGAACACATACGCCTTACGCTACGTACACACGCTGCGTAAAATGTATAAGCAACGTACACACACGATATCAAAACTCTGTACAAACATTGCATTACATTTCGATTTAAAGCTTTCGTGACTGCAATGATTCATCTTCTTTGGTTCTTTAAGGCTTAAAGGCCGTGATCTGAACGTGGCTCTTTCACTCCAGCGCTGTCCTACCAGACAGTCTCGCCCCTTCACCTGATGAAGGCCGCTTGTGTTGTGGCCGAAACGTCGTGAGAATATTATTGTGTTATTTTATTTTATCAATTTATTATTTTATTCTCATTCCACGTGACTTTACCGAAAGAACCAAAGAAGATTGCATTACATGTATTGTACATGTAGGTACACCAAACAGTCTGCATACATCAAGGCCATGGAGTCAACATTGGGGGGGACCAAATCTTCCAGGGTGTCTGGGGTCCCCCCCCCACAGAAAAAAAAAAATTGAAAACTAATTTCCTGCCTAAGATATAAAAAAAAATTCACTTACACATACAGTGAGGGAAAAAAGTATTTGATCCCCTGCTGATTTTGTACGTTTGCCCACTGACAAAGAAATGATCAGTCTATAATTTTAATGGTAGGTTTATTTGAACAGTGAGAGACAGAATAACAACAACAAAATCCAGAAGAAACGCATGTCAAAAATTTTATAAATTGATTTGCATTTTAATGAGGGAAATAAGTATTTGACCCCCTCTCAATCAGGACGATTTCTGGCTCCCAGGTGTTTTTTATACAGGTAACGAGCTGAGATTAGGAGCACACTCTTAAAGGGAGTGCTCCTAATCTCAGCTTGTTACCTGTATAAAAGACACCTGTCCACAAAAGCAATCAATCAATCAGATTCCAAACTCTCCACCATGGCCAAGACCAAAGAGCTCTCCAAGGATGTCAGGGACAAGATTGTAGACCTACACAAGGCTGGAATGGGCTACAAGACCATTGCCAAGCAGCTTGGTGAGAAGGTGACAACAGTTGGTGCGATTATTCGCAAATGGAAGAAACACAAAAGAACTGTCAATCTCCCTCGGCCTGGGGCTACATGCAAGATCTCACCTCGTGGAGTTGCAATGATCATGAGAACGGTGAGGAATCAGCCCAGAACTACATGGGAGGATCTCGTCAATGATCTCAAGGCAGCTGGGACCATAGTCACCAAGAAAACAATTGGTAACACACTACGCCGTGAAGGACTGAAATCCTGCAGCGCCCGCAAGGTCCCCCTGCTCAAGAAAGCACATATACATGCCCGTCTGAAGTCTGCCAATGAACATCTGAATGATTCAGAGAACAACTGGGTGAAAGTGTTGTGGTCAGATGAGACCAAAATTGAGCTCTTTGGCATCAACTCGACTCGCCGTATTTGGAGGAGGAGGAATGCTGCCTATGACCCCAAGAACACAATCCCCACCGTCAAACATGGAGGTGGAAACATTATGCTTTGGGGGTGTTTTTCTGCTAAAGAGACAGGACAACTTCACCGCATCAAAGGGACGATGGACGGGGCCGTGTACCATCAAATCTTGGGTGAGAACCTCCTTCCCTCAGCCAGGGTATTGAAAATGGGTTGTGGATAGGTATTCGAGCATGACAATGATCCAAAACACACGGTCAAGGCAACAAAGGAGTGGCTCAGGAAGAAGCACATTAAGGTCCTGGAGTGGCCTAGCCAGTCTCCAGACCTTAATCCCATAGAAAATCTGTGGAGGGAGCTGAAGGGTCGAGTTGCCAAACGTCAGCCTCGATACCTTAATGACTTGGAGAAGATCTGCAAAGAGGAGTGGGACAAAATCCCTCCTGAGATGTGTGAAAACCTGGTGACCAACTACAAGAAACGTCTGACCTCTGTGATTGCCAACAAGGGTTTTGCCATCAAGTACTAAGTCATGTTGTGCAGAGGGGTCAAATACTTATTTCCCTCATCAAAATGCAAATCAATTTATAACATTTTTGACATGCGTTTTCAGGATTTTTTGTTGTTATTCTGTCTCTTACTGTTCAAATTAACCTACCATTAAATTTATAGACTGATCATTTCTTTGCCAGTAGGCAAACGTACAAAATCAACAGGGGATCAAATACTTTTTTCCCTCACTGTAGGATGGACTTTTTATTTATTTTTTACAATAATGTCTAATAGTTTATTGTATTACATTGCTCTGTTTTTTCTTTTTTACCTTTTCTTGTTCCATTGTATGTAATGGCAGAGATTAGGGATTAATAAAGTACAACCAAAACCACAATCAAATCAACAGAAATCTATTTTATAGCAATATTTTTGGGGGGGGACATTTTGAGCACATTTGAATATTGGAGGGGGATGTCCCCCCCCCAATATAAATTATAATTACGGCCTTGGCATACATACCACACCACATATCACATGACACAACCATGTTGCGGTGACGTCGCCGTGGCGCTTGTGCCAGGCTAGGTGCACTTTGAGGCCACGTTAAATGTCGAAGGCTCGCTGGCAGAAGGTGCCATGGGTTTGCTGACGGAGATGACTGGCAAATGCACAAGCTGTGGTCCCCACTGTGCACATCAGCCAACCACTCACAAGGGGTGGCGACTTCCTCCAATATTTGAGGCACATCAGCACCAGCAGGGTCAATTCCACCGTGCCATATGATGTTTTTCGGACTGAAGGGTTTCCCTTCCCCAAAGACCTCACAGAAATGCTCAGCAAATCTGCGAACCTGTTTTTGGGGGTCGGAGATAGGGTTGCCGTTCTTTCCCTTAAAGATGGTGATAGGTGTGGTGCTGCAAGTTTCTTTGTTGATGGAGTTAAAAAGTGATTTGTTGAAGCAGTTTCTATTTCGTCAGCAACTCGCGACCACCACTCGTCCTTCCAGCGCCGTGCATCTCTCCGAACCTCGACCCTCGCTCGATACGAAAAACAAAGTTATCGACACCTACTTTAGAGCGTGGTTATTTTCTCAATTTGTTATTTTCGCGCATGATCTCACTGTGATACACCAACTCCACCTCCAGACAATCGCGAGGATGTTTCTCTGAGTCCTCCAGTTTTGTTCCCCTCCACGTTCAGATACTAGGAGTGCGTTTGTTTAGTTTATTTGGGGGCTGTCCATAAATGACGTCACGCGATTTTGGACGATTTTTGACCCCCCGCCTCGTCACACGGCGTCACAAAAAGTCAGACCCCCCCCTCAAATATGACGTCACAAAGCTCTGCCCCCCCCCCCCCCAAAATAAAACATGCTTCAAATCGCTTTAAACTATTGTCATTGCAGTGCGTATTTAATGTGGCGCTGCACTCTGATGTTGTAGGAGAAAACATTTATTTAAAAGTCTAATTAATTAAGTAGAACGTGCTGTCTATATTTATTTAAAGTTGCGCATTTTGATGTGACGTCACATTTCTCACCCCCCCCCCCCCTCATCACACATCGTCACAAATATCTGACCCCCCCCCCCCAGGTGCGTGACGTCATGCATGGACGGCCCCTTGGTTGCTTGAAATTTCCAAATCAGCCCACTTCGTTGAGCTCTCATCTGACATAGCCAAGTTGCTTCTCAGTGGGCGAAGGCGGGAGGAGGGGGGGGGGGCGTGTCACAACAAAACTCGATCCATGGATAGATTGGCAATCAATCGACACAGCTATCAACCCTCAAATTATGATTAACCCGGCATTTTTGAATATTTGTTTTCGTTGGATCGACTGAGCGGAATCCATACAATCAATCTCGATTTACGATCCCCAATACCATGTGTGGATGTGTGGGCAAAGAAACGGCCCCTTCGGCCAGAGCCACGCTCACTCGCTTCCACATATGTCGGGGGGGAGGAGGTTTGGAGGGGGGGGGCAAATCTCTGATCGGTGATTTTGTCGGGTGTACGATTTAATCCGTATCATCACAGTGCCACGGCTCCATGGGTGAGGCGCCGCGTGCTGGCCACGGCTACTTACTGCAGGGCTCATCCTGAGAGCCGGGCAACGAGGGGCTCCCACTCGCAACGATTCCATTCTGACCTGCCTCGATCGGACATCTGCGTGTGATGGCGAACATGTCCCAGGAGCGAAATGCCAATGCGTGCGTGGAGGTCCGCGAAATCACGAGAGGGCTTCAGGAGGAGAGCACTTTCTGCTGTTGTTCCTCCTCCGTCGAAGGAGCTCAGATTACAGTGATGTACTACACTGCACACGGACCAAAGCTTCATAGTGTTATTTAGATAACCGTATTTTTTTTGCTATGTCCACATGATAAGCCACTTCGTTGAGCTATCATTTGTAGCCAGGTCGCTTCTGAGTTAGAAGTTAATAGTTTAGTGGGCTTTATCTGGTAAGATGAGAAGACATTGTTTAGTTTAATTTGCATATGTATGTTTTTTTAAGCGATGTGTTTACCTTTCCTATACTTTGCACGCCTTTCGTGTTTTTTTTTCCGTTGCGTTTGTTGTTCTCACGTTCTGACTTTGCCTCGACCGGACATCTGTGAAGAAAACAAAAATTGAGCTTCATAGCTCATCGGATTCCTCCAATTCCAATAATTGTTCTCATCCCATTGGGCTGCACGGCCAACAATCGCACTTCCGTGCATCGACTTTCGTGTGCCCGTTCATGTTCCTACGCGGCTGACGGGTAAACAACCACCGTGGGGGGGTGGGGGGGGGGGTTCCCTGCGGTGCCGTGCCACCACCAGAGGCGACCAGCGCCGCCGAGTCGCGCCGAGCGCAGCGGTCAAGCGGGCAGAGTTGGGGACGCGGACCGCGATGCAACGAACGCGTCTGGGATGCTGCGGCCGCGACAGCGGAGCCGAATAGAAAGCAATGAGACGGCGCGAAACGACACGGACCCAGACGAGCGCCAACGAATCGACGCAAACGAGAGAGAGACAGAGAGAGAGAGAGGACAGGCGAGACGGAACAAAGGAGACGGAGTCGACGTACAACGCGAACCCAAAATCCGCTCTTGGCTCGAACCCGTAACGCCCCCAAATCCAGACATTGCGTCAATTATAGGGGGAGGGAAGGAGAATCGTGGCGTTTCTAATGATAAAGACAAAGCTCCCCCATGTAGCCTTAACAGACCGTAGGGGCAAGTGCTGTAGGCGATCAGCTCGCGAGGCCGCCACAACACGTGAAGGGGGCTGGGTGGCCAGCGTCAACGAACGGGGCCGCCATTGTATCCCCATTGTTGTCACACCGCACCAGGTGCTAAATTAAGGCCGAGTTGACCTAGGGAAGAGCCACGACCGGTTGTTGATCGCGAGCGAGCGAGAATGGATCTCGGCTAGCCGGGTTCGCAGCGCCGTGCGCTAAAAAAGACACCGCTACACTACCGCTCCCCACCCCGTGCACAGAGAAAGTGAGACACGGGCACAGAGACCCCTGCCGAGCCGGTGAGGTTGCAAGACCCCTAATGTACACTCGGTGGGAGGTGGAGCGGGGGGCAAGACCGGCGACGATCGTCTGAACGGGTGCTCCTTGGGGCCTCCGCCTAGGTAGACTCAGCCTAACAAAAAGATGAGTGTCCTGGCGCCATGCGTAAACGCCGCGGCTCGGGAGGCAAAGGCGGGGACCCTGGCGTGGTGCTGCTGGCCACCCACAACCCACTCGCGTGCCGCGCGACCCTTCATCGGTGGTGCTGCTACTCGCTAACAGCACTTGCCCCAACAGTCTATTAAGGCTACACGGGGGGGGGGGGGGGCTAGGGTGTGGGGTGGGAGCGAGTTGCATTTATTTATTTTATTAGTTTTTAACGATCCACATCATTAACAAGACGCGGGCCGTCTTACCGCCGCCGCTGCTGCTGCCGCTGCCGCTACGACATCGCCCGTGCGTGCAGCTGCGCGCGACGCGCATGGACTCCGCGGTGGAGCCGAGCAACAGGTAACGAGCGGCAACATCAGCAGCATCAGCATCAGGAGCAGCAGCAGCAGGAGCGCCGCACACCCTATGCTTCACACACACACGTGCGGCGTGTGCTATCGCTACACCAACTCTGTGTGTGTGTGTAACAATGCAAGCGAGCCTGGTGACAGTGTGATGTCGTGCGGGTTGCGCCACTGCGATTGTGATGAAACCGGCGAATTGCGTTCACCGGCCACGGCTAACATCAGCGGCAGGTGATGTCTGGAATCAGTTCTGATCCCTCCCCCCCATCCGCCTTCCACTGCTCTTCACCAAACATTACTGAATGCCCTTTAGATTGCGTTTGCATGCCGTGCATATATGGCCTGTGTTCGGTATAGACTGTCGACGTTTAAGTTTGAACGTACAGTATACAGGCACGTCGTCTGTTACGGACTGCTTTGGGTACATGGACGCTGAGCAGCAATATCCCGTTTATGCTGCGTCGACTTGTCAACGACCATGCGTATCTCGTCATTGTAAACACAGTGGTGTTGACATAATTTGTGCGGATGTAGAATAGGCGAAGCACGTGTTCACTGCGTGCGCAATGTGCAAAACACTCGTGCTCATTAAAATCACCGCGCGCGCGTGTGTGTGTGTTACGCACATGCTGGACATCATGTCAAGCGTGGTGTTTAAGTTAATTATGCAGACCAAGGTTCATCACATCGGCGTGGGCTATATGTTACGTGCTGTATAATACATGTTAAACTAGTGATTAGTTTATGATTACGCAACATACGTAACGTTCAATAATAAACGCGTGTATGCGTATATTCGTTATGTATATGCAGGTACGGGCCGCTTATTTATTCACTGCTAGATGAGCGTTCTCCCCCGCACCTTGTGGACACCGATGGTTATTTAAAGCATACTTCACCACAGTGGTCAGTGTGGGTTTGTGGAGGCTGTGGGGGGAATCGCTGGATCCGTATTGCACAGGGCTCCAACCCGCTTAGATTCCCGCGGCACTGACGCACTCCGGACGATTTGGCCATAGGCAACGTTCAGTGTACCGCACAGCATAGTACCACGCGTAAAAGTAAGCGTTACGCGCACGTGTGTGCCTGAAGGCATCGTGCGCGTTCTCTATACACGAGACAGTCATTGTGCAATTGAGACATCGTGTGTTTGCTTCGCACCGCTCCACACTTACCCGTAATGTTCTCTCCGCCGAGCCACTGTGTACGTGCGTGTTCACGACACGAGATCGTTGCTCATTATGAAGGCTCTGCACGGCTTTGGCACGGGTTGTCCGGTTTCTTCCGACAAACGAACAACGCACGAATGGTATTGGCCAACTATTAAAGTGGCAGGACGCGCCTGTGAATGAAATCGTAAAACGGTCTCGAGACTCGGCGAGTCTTTCATGGGTAAACATCAGAGAGTGGCGGTTATTAGCTAAGGAGGACAGCGCTGTCCTCCAGACAGTCTCGTCCCTTCACCTGATGAAGGCCGCTTGTGTTGTGGCCGAAACGTCGTGAGAATATTATTGCGTTATTTTATTTTATCAATTTATTATTTTATTCTCATTCTACGTGACTTTACCGAAATAACCAAAGAAGCTCACAATTTGAATACGAAACGTCGTACTCGAACTGTCAATGTTGTGGGTTTACTCTCCAACACGGCGTAGTAACGAATTGGCATGCTGTGTTTACGTGGCAGACCTTACTGATTGGCCGTGTCGGCTGGTGGCGGGTTTAACGACATTTTTACGAACGCGATCTAACCCACGAAAAAAAAATCACCTCTATGATGGATTTGAACTCGCTTCGCCGTTCGCGAGCACCCTCGATGGGCTGCGTGCATTCATCAGCGCTGGGAGGGAGTCCACGTGCGATTGTGCACGATGGAGCAGGAAAACACCGTGGGCCAGCATCGCCTCGCGCGACGCGATCCTCCGATAATCCCGTGCAGTCGAAGCAAGAGAGTGGCGTGAGGCGCGCGCCTGACGGATTCGAATGAGAAAATGCGTAAAAGTGCGCGGGCGGTGGAGCGCGAAGGAAATCGAGAGAGAGAGAGCGGGGAAGAGAGGGGAGAGAGGGGGGACGGCTCCTACACGTGATGGACACGCATGTTATATGACACGCACGCTCGGAGCAAGCAGCAGGCTCATCCCCGGCAGCGTCACCATCATTCCAGCCATCACGGCAGCTGCATGCCTTCGAGATCCTGGAAAAGGTTGTACTGTACTGCGCGCACGCGCGTGTGTGTGTTTGTGTACGCGTCTATGGGGAGCGGTGGCGTAGTGTTAACGCACTGCGCTACGAACCCGGCGTCTCGAGTATCTATCATTTATAGTCACGGCTATAATATCATTGGCGAGTGATATCTGAACCGCTCCCGAGCCTCAACTATATCGACCAGGCTTGACTATAGAGTACTTGATGCGGTGTGTAAACATGAGGACTGAGAGAGACAAAGGCGGCCGCGCGCGGTGCTGGTAACATCCATCCCTTCGTGTGTCGTACCGGCCTTGATAGGCTCTCGCTAACAGCACTCGTCTCAACACGAGGAATCTGTATCCTTGTACGCATGTGTGTTTGTTACACAGCATTTTTTTTTTACGCAGGGAGGGACAATTTTGCTTTGGTGGTTTGGTGGTGCTGAGCCTTAACATCATCGATGTGGTTACGACGACGACGACGACGATGATGATGATGATTTAATGAACGTGCGTGCGGGAAGTACATTGCTTTCGACAGCAAGTAGACTTGAGAGACATATCTGTCCCACTCCAGGATTGCAATGCCGCTCGTTGTATCTCGCTATGCAATCTCACAGGGCGTGAGCCCGAGCCGGAAAAAACTGCGATTTAGTATTCCGTGTGTTGGCCCTGCTTGTCTGCTCCGACTGGAGGCGACTGCCCCGCACATCAGCTCGATGCGTGTGCGCACAACACATCATTTACAGAGCGACGGAGCGGTGTTAATGACCATGGCAGCGATGTCGATGTTCGTTGGATTTCTGAGTCCTCGGGCACAGCCAAGAGAGACACCCACATTTCGGCGAGACAAAAACAATCGTGGTATTCCGAGTCCGCGTTTTCCTCCATTCAACAGGGTGACATGAATGCTGATTGTGCTGACAATGGACACATTAAATACACTAAAAACTAAACTATATATTTTATTTTACCAGGAAAGATTCGCTGAGCTATATAGGCTCCTTTTCAAGAAGCGATCTGGTCACAAATGATAGCGCAACGAAGTGGCTTATCACGTGGGACATTTTATAGCAGCCAAATATTCGAAACGCACGGTGTTTTTAAATGTGGAGGGAAGACCCGGATAAAAATCCACACAACCACGGGTAGAGAGACATGAAAAAGCCAAATATACAGGTGTCAGGTTTGGGATCGAACTCACGGCCTCCTGCATACCAGGCGAGGTAGTTAACATATCGCCACAGTAGCTGTATATTCAGTATCGAGTTAGTAGCCAGCAGTTGCACACAATAAATTAAATTGTGGTGGAGTAGAACTCATCGTATCCGTGGCGAAATGTGTGGGGGGAGGGGAGGTGGGAAAACTTCGTGGCTCTCATTTGTAATAATCTACCGTAACCACCGGGAAGCCTCCGCTTGTAATTGTGATTCACTCCACGCGCATGCTTTACCTGGCGTGGTGAAATGTTAACTCCCCTAGCCTGGTATACAGGAGGTCGTGGGTTCGATCCCGACCCTTGACGCCTGCTGTATATTTAAAGTTTGCATGTCTCTCTCTCTCCCCTCCCCCCCGTGGTCGCGTGGATTTTTCTCTGGGTTCTCCAGATTTTCCCTCCACATTTAGAAACATACGTTCAGAGTAATCGGCTGCTGTGAATTTTCCACGTGATAAGCTACTTCGTTGAGCTATCATTTGTGACCAGCTCACTTCTAAAAAAAAATCTATATATAGCTCAGTGGGCCTTACCTGGTAACGTTTAAAGTTATTAGTTTGTTAACCACACTTGCGCATAAACTTGAGCAAATGTGACTGATAGGCAGCATTGGTACAGAGATAGATAACTGTGGACTAGTTTCGTCCTTTATTAGGATTCATGAACAGTCAGCTCTGCTCACTGCTACCAAGTGAGTTTGAAACCTGCCAGTCCAGTCACATTTGCACGAATCTATGTTGATGGTGATCTATGACAAGAGGGCCAAAATGCACTTCTACAGGAATATGTTGATGTTTTTTTTTATTTGCACAGAAGCCGTGTTTTATTGTGTTTCCACGTTTTTATCGTCGTTGGGAAGGTATAATTTTCAAGCCGCACTATTATTCCGTCAGGATGGGGTTTCTCTCATCATTTACAGATTTTATTGATTGAGCAGAATCCTTGAGCGATTGCCCAGATGTATGTACATATACAGCCGTTTTAGTTAATCCACTGCTGGATGAGGGCTTCCACACGCCGTGCCGGTCGTGGAGAGTGATTTGACTGGATTTCACAACGCTGTTCAGTGAGGGTTGGTGAAGACCAAAAGGTCATCGGGTCACGGATAGTTCAAACTGGAGGTTTGCGGGTCTTCGGATCTTGAGGTGGTCACATCTTCAGATTGCTGCTATTCACATCAATAACAGTTGATTATTTTCTGCAGCGTCCACCACGTCGTGCCAAAGTAGTCTATACCACCCTTGTGTGCATGGTGGTCGCCCTTCCAAGCATCATCCAGACTACCATCCAGCGTTTACTGCAAGATCTAAACCATGCCCCGTATAGTGCTTGCTGAGCTGCATTGGCTTCCGGTTACCAAACAAATACATCATAAGGTCGCACTCATTACACACAAAGTGCTTGCCACAAATGAACCTGCAACACCTTGCTGAATCATAAACCCATCACGCAAACTCCAGTCATCCTCGCAGTGGCTTTTGGCTAATCATAGAACAAAGACGGTCACTGCATCGTGCGCGTTCAGATGCGCTTCTGCGGCCGTCTGGAACGCTCTTCCATCCAATATTAGTAAGCCACTGGAGCAATGCACTTTTAAATCTAGATTGATCACTCATTTCTTTACAACTGCTTTTTGTGTTTAATTTGTTGTCCTTCCCCTGCACCTCTAGTCAGCATGGTTGGCTATGTACGGAGCGAAAGAAGTTCAACATACATACAGTACATACAGTGAGGGAAAAAAAATATTTGATCCCCTGCTGATTTCGTACGTGTGCCCACTGACAAAGAAATGATCAGTCTATAATTTTAATGGTAGGTTTATTTGAACAGTGAGAGACAGAATAACAACAACAAAATCCAGAAAAACGCATATCAAAAATGTCATAATTTGATTTGCATTTTAATGAGGGAAATAAGTATTTGACCCCTCTGCAAAACATGAATTAGTACTTGGTGGCAAAACCCTTGTTGGCAATCACAGAGGTCAGACGTTTCTTGTAGTTGGCCACCAGGTTTGCACACATCTCAGGAGGAATTTTGTCACACTCCTCTTTGCAGATCTTCTCCAAGTCATTAAGGTTTCGAGGCTGACGTTTGGCAACTCGAACCTTCAGCTCCCTCCACAGATTTTCTATGGAATTAAGGTCTGGAGACTGGCTAGGCCACTCCAGGACCTTAATGTGCTTCTTCTTGAGCCACTCCTTTGTTGCCTTGGCCGTGTGTTTTGGGTCATTCTCATGCTGGAATACCCATCCACGACCCATTTTCAATGCCCTGGCTGAGGGAAGGAGGTTCTCACCAAAGATTTGACAGTACATGGCCCCGTCCATCGTCCCTTTGATGCGGTGAAGTTGTCCTGTCCCCTTAGCAGAAAAACACTCCCAAAGCATAATGTTTCCACCTCCATGTTTGACGGTGGGGATGGTGTTCTTGGGGTCATAGGCAGCATTCCTCCTCGTCCAAACACGGCGAGTTGAGTTGATGCCAAAGAGCTCCATTTTGGTCTCATCTGACCACAACACTTTCACCCAGTTGTCCTCTGAATCATTCAGATGTTCATTGGCAAATTTCAGACGGGCATGTATGTGCTTTCTTGAGCAGGGGGACCTTGCGGGCGCTGCAGGATTTCAGTCCTTCACGGCGTAGTGTGTTACCAATTGTTTTCTTGGTGATTATGGTCCCAGCTGCCTTGAGATCATTGACAAGATCCTCCCGTCTAGTTCTGGGCTGATTCCTCACCGTTCTCATGATCATTGCAACTCCACGAGGTGAGATCTTGCATGGAGCCCCAGGCCGAGGGAGATTGACAGTTATTTTGTGTTTCTTCCATTTGCGAATAATCGCACCAACTGTTGTCACCTTCTCACCAAGCTGCTTGGCAATGGTCTTGTAGCCCATTCCAGCCTTGTGTAGGTCTACAATCTTGTCCCTGACATCCTTGGAGAGCTCTTTGGTCTTGGCTCTGGTGGAGAGTTTGGAATCTGATTGTTTCTGTGGACAGGTGTCTTTTATACAGGTAACAAGCTGAGATTAGGAGCACTCCCTTTAAGAGTGTGCTCCTAATCTCAGCTCGTTACCTGTATAAAAGACACCTGGGAGCCAGAAATCTTTCTGATTGAGAGAATGTCAAATACTTATTTCCCTCATTAAAATGCAAATCAATTTATAACATTTTTGACATGCGTTTTTCTGGATTTTTTTTGTTGTTATTCTGTCTCTCACTGTTCAAATAAACCTACCATTAAAATTATAGACTGATCATTTCTTTGTCAGTGGGCAAACGTACAAAATCACCAGGGGATCAAATACTTTTTTCCCTCACTGTAGCTTGTGGTGACGAGATAGGATGCATTCTGAGCGATCTACGCTGATGATATGCAGTACTAGAATGCTGACATTTAGTGATAATTTACTTTTGTCAATGATGTACATTTTATTGTATAAGATGTTTAATGTATTATTATCCACTTGGGGTCAAGTCAGAATTCTCAGAAATGTGTACCTATATTTTAGTCGACAATTACACCTCATATCCTGTATAATTGCAGCACTATAGAGTATGTGACTTGTGAATTATAGTTGTGAAGAAAACGTAGTTTTGTTTAAACGCCTTTGTTTATAGTGTAACGCAGCGACAGCATCCGCATGCATTGCACTGCGGTATCAAGCTGGCGACTTCGAATTTGATGATTTCCAGCCACAGCTAAGACCAGCAGCGAGTGACATCCGAACCGGTCCTGGGGTCCCTCCCTCCCCCGCCTTCACCAACCGGCACTGACCAACGTTGTGCAGTCAGTCGGGTCACATATAACCCCACCCCCACCCCCCACGACGATCCGACGATCTATAAAGCGTGCGTAGGCCCTCATCCAGAAGTGGATTGACAAAAATCTGTAAACGTACAGAGTTTTTTTGTTTAATGCATGTGTGCGCACGTGTATGCAAGTCGTGCGTGTTTATAAAAGGCCCCGCTCCGTTTACGTATCTGTTGGTGTTGCATGCCGGCACTTGTGGCATCGTGCTCGAGTGTCACCAATGGTTGTCCGACGAGTACACTTCGCTCCGTCACAGGAATGCGATATATCCACCACTGGCCTGAGGGCTTTTCACGAGGGCGAGCAACGCCGCATGCTCATTGCAGGAGGCAACTACTTGTTGAGCACGCGAGCCAACGAACAATAATTCATGACGGTTGAACTCCTGGTCATGATTACGCATCGAGTAGTGGCAACTGTCAGAAGAACCTACCCCGCCTGCCCGCCCGCACCCCTCCAGAGGGGAATTTCAGTGGTCAAATCGAGATGTGGCGAGGGATGGAGGAGGGTCTCATTCGCAGCTAGGGGGGCGGGGAAGCTGCAGATGCGGGAGACGTTACACAGATGGAAGTTTGAGGCTCTGCGCGAAGTTGGGATGTGGAAAGAGAGAGGTCGACGAGAAATGAGCGTGAGATCCATGGTCCGTACAAGAGGGCATTGACTACACAGAGAGCAGTCTTGGTGGAATTTCCTTTTTTTTGTTGTTGCAAAAAACAGATTGTACTGGGTCATGGTGGAGACCATGGCAGAAGATACTTTCTTGCTCCCTTTCCTATAAAATGTAGAATGGAAATCTGCAGTGATGTTGGGATACAATGTAGGGGGGGGGGGGTTCCCAGGATTTCAATAACAGCAGCAGTCTTGAGTGCTTGTGGAGCAGTTCCAGAAGAGATTTGAGGCATAAGCTCCACGTATAGAATATTCGCAGGTGAAGTGATGCAGTCCATAGCCAACAGAGCACTGAGGAGACGAAGCAGACGTGATGCTGGTCACCCGAACATGTGATAGATTACAGTGCTGGCTCACACCTGATCCAGACGCTTGGAGGCGACGGGGTGGGGCTCAGAGATGCTCCTAACATAGAGCCATGAGACTCGGCAAGCCTTTCCCGGATAAATGCACTAAATTGTTACATTATATTGACAGACGGAAAAAGGAACACGAGGATTAGAGAACATAACGCAGGTTAATAGCATTCAAACAATTATGAAAAGTGGGCTTTGCGCCGAAACACAACGCAAGAAAGGCAATGGCCAAGAATGCCGATGAGGGTGAGAAGCAGCGAAGGAATGAAATGCATCCGAGAGGACTTCCGAAGAAGAGATGGGAGTGGTGAAAACAGCTCGTATGCAAGGTACAAGGTGAATTATTACATTTTAGGATTGTGAAAGATGCTGCCGGCTCGGGGAACCCTTCATCCACCAGTGGATTGACCGTGGCCGATGGTGTTACAGTATCGCAGCAGTGTGAATATTAATGGGCGCCGTGTGCGTTTCTGTGCAGCTAAGCTGGGGCACCAGCACAGATGCCTCGCCCTGTGAAAGGGCCCTCCCAGCCCGGCGGAGACAGCGCAGAAGCCGAGGAGAGTGGGGCTGCGGAGGGGGCAGGGACCGACAGGGACGCGTGCTGCTTCTGCTGGTGCTGCTGCTGCTCATGCTCCTGGTGCGTGACCCCCTCCGCTCGCTTGGGGGGACCAAGCCCGACCAGGGCCAGTGGGGACACGCGGCAAGGGAGCTATTCCTACAGCAGCTCTTCCCGGTAGAGGTGCAGTGATGCACCGATTCATCGATCGATATCGGTTGCGGTTATTATTATTTTTTGTTTGCCCATTATATCGCAATTGTGCGCGACAATCGCGAGACAGGAACATTTTAATTCGGGGCTCTGCATCCAGCGGTGCATTATCCCGTGTGAGAGAATGTCGCGGAACATGACGTCACAGAACAACATCTGAGGTCACTGCAGGCCTCTTCATCCACACTCAGGTCACACAATTTTATATGCACTGCAAAAAAAGTGTCCATCACATGTCAATCAAACCAACAATTTTAAGTCAATCCTTGGGAACAAGACCGAGATTATCAACTCGATACATCAACTTTAGAACCTCTGATTAGTACATATGGCTGCATTCGGTGTGAAAGATAAACATGCATACAGAACCACGTATAATCATCGGTATCCATCTCGAGCAGTGGTTCTGAATCTGGGATGCACGCACCCACTGGGGGGGGGGGGGGGGGGGGGGGGGGTGCGAGACATGGCCAGATCTCTTTCGGAGGTAAATCATCGAAGGGCAAATGAAGCACGGCCACGTAAGCACAACTCCTCTTCTTTGGTTCTTTCGGTAAAGTCACCACGTAGAATGAGAATAAAATAATAAAATAACACGATAAAATTCTCACGACGTTTCGGCCACAACGCAAGCGGCCGTCTTCAGGTCCCGACAGTTCTGTACCTTTCACCTGAAGACGGCCGCTTGCGTTGTGGCCGAAACGTCGTGAGAATTTTATTGTGTTATTTTATTATTTTATTCTCATTCTACATGACTTTACCGAAAGAACCAAAGAAGATGAATCCTTGCAGTCACGAAAGCTTTAAATCGAGAACTACTCTTGTTTCATGAAACCTGTGTTTATTAACAGTCGACCTTTTTAACGATTGACAACCAAAGGGGTGCAAGGCAGCAGTAAAGGTTAAGAAGCACTGGTCGAGTCACACACCAAGGATCTCGGTGGTGCCATCTCAGTGCCGACACCTGAGCCTCCTGGACCCGATTATGACGTTAATATCGATTCTTCAGGCTCACAATTCAAGCATCAAATCTCAAGAGTAATGTAATGTCGACGTTACAAATGATGTGCAAATTAAAATGCATAAAGGCTCAGGGAGTGAACAACAATGTACCAAACAAGACAGAATGAATGAGAAACAATACAAATGAGATAGCAAAAGCAACACTAATATATACAGTGTTGAATCACGGCCCTGATTATCAACAATGTCATCCCTTAAAGCATAAATTGTTACGCTCAGTTTTTCGCCTGGGTTCTGGGGACCCCAAGGGAAGTGTAGGCATCAATATGGGTCCATAAAAAGGTCTAAGGGGGTGCAGAGGTGATTCGGAAAGAGTTGCAAGGGGTCTGCGAAGACAGACGAACAAAGCTTACGTAGTAAATACTACATCACAGTTACAAATACTGGACAATCGTATTCCAGCAGAGAAAGTTTTGGAAGCTGTGGTCTGCATTAGACAGTGTGCAGGTAAGGCACACAAGGATGAAAAGTACTCAAGGTAAAAGTTTATCTACTTGCGAAAATACAGAAAACACAATATTCACCTTAACTACTGAATTTTTTTGCTTTGGCGTTTACAATTCTTTGCAATGTGACCTCCGTTACGACACGGCAATCATCCTCGTCAAACGTCGAATCGCAACCTCACAACGCAGCTTTGCCATTGACTAAAAAAATATATATTGCAACACTGAGCCGCGATTATATCACTTTGAGCAACAAGGCAGTGAGTGGCAGCGGGACGCTTGAGGAAAGGTCACGCGCGCGGCACCCCACATTGTGTGCGACATGGGGCCCGAGCCGTTAAAACTCGACTAAAAATATCCCCGAGTCGATTCTCACGGGACTCATTTGTTACAGTTGTCAGGGAGACGCGACAGAATGTCACGGATAAGAGGCTCGCATTGTTATTGGCCGTTGCGACCGCATTACAGTGCGATGCGCGTACAGGAGATCGATACGGGAGAGGAGGGGCGGGGGGGGGGGGCGGTGGGGCTACTCTCGAGCGCGAAGCTCGGTGCTGGAGAGGCGACGGCGCTCCGTTTCAACGGTGGCTTCCTGGCGCCGAGCGTTGCTCTTGACTTGCGCTTCAACTCCCGTGCGCCGAATGTAGTCTCGCGCCCCAGGGCGAAGACTCGCCGACGTCCTCTCGGAAGAACTCGCACACGACGCGCACCGAGGACTGCACCGACTCGGAGGCCGCGAGGTGTGGTTTTGCCGCCGTTTTCAAATTCACGCGGGGAAAAAGCTGATGGGCAGAAATATTTACCCGGACGTGAAAGATTGTTGTTGTTGTTGTTTTTTGTTCTTAGTGTAGTGAGCGACTTCTGCGACACGTCGTGTAGGCTTCTTAATTATTAAGAGCACAATGGGCGATACATTTATATATAACGCAGCTACACATAGCCGACCCTAACACACAACCCCATCGTTGGCGTCCAACTATGCAGCTGCCCGACTAGCGCAGCGACGGCGAGAGCCTTGCAGGAGATCGGCCACGTGGCCAGACGACGTAGAGAGATGACGGTGAGCAGCGACGCAGCCAGGGCCCAGGACCCGCAACAGCCCCGAACCTCTGGGTCGGTCCCCCCTTATATACCTCCCAGCGTGGCCAAGCCCCGCCTCCAGCCACGCCCCCTTCTAGAACCCTCGAGCAGGTTCCCGGAGCTTCTCGACTGACTCCGCCTTTCACCTTTACCCCAAATACACCCTCCTCGTAATTAGGCATTACGTAATGTACACATAACCGCGATTACCCCTTCAGGCCGACAGGTGGCACCCTGTCATTACATCAGTATGGATCAAAGTATACACGGGAAAAAGGGGGGGGGAGGGACACAACGCATCGATTCTTAGGCTTGTGATATACATGCATCACATCGCTTGTGCAAGAATCGGTATTGTTGTACGCAATGGGTTGACGTCACTCCGGCAGCCACTTGAGCTGCAACCATTCAGAGCAATGTTGAACACAGAATTGGTTCTTCAATGGACTCGGAAACCACGATTTTTGACAGCTGCATCGTCGGAGTGCAGGATGCGTCATTCACCCCACCCAAAACTCCTCTTTCAAGCATACCACAGCACCAAATCCTGTCGTACGTCACAGACAAAGTTAAAGTGCTGGCATCAAAGTCTGTTTAAAATTAATGGCTCCAATATGGGCTTTTTATTTGGTATCAGGTTTTTTTTTATTAAAATGTCTCGTTATATTCCGATCAAATTATAATTGTGCCATTGGCACTGTCATGACAGAAACATTTATCCATTCAGACCTTGCCTAGAGCAATGCATCACGATGCGAGAGAATGGTCCGTAGATGGTGATAAATCCCTCCAATGACCCCCTAATGCACATCGGAAGTGCTGCAGCCTTGCACGCTGCACCTGCTGTAGAGATGTTGGTCGCATGATGGTCAGAAAACTTTTTATATATATAAATATACTTGTTTACGGACGAAAAGTGAAACCCTACGTTTAAATGGGAGGTTTTCTTGAGTGCAGTCGTTGGTAACCGCCAAGCTAAGACCGTCAACTTGGTTTAATCAAAGGTGGCAGAACCCAAATTAGAACCAAAGATCTCAGCGTTTGCTGGATCAGTCAACTCCTGAGCTACCGAGCTACCCACTTTGAATAAATATCCAATGTATTAAACTCGTAAATGATGTGAAGAGCTGGGTAAGATTACATTTCAGCCTCTATCCTGAGGTTGGTCTCCAGATAAATACGGACAAAATAACTTGGAGGAATACAATTAAGAGAGCCTAACATAATTTGTATACCGAGGACAATTATTATAAGTGGACCAGAGTCATAATGATGAAAGCCAACGAACAGAACAGTGCATTTGTGGAGCTGAATTTAATTATGAAAAGCAGCCAATCAAACCAAAGTCGCGTAGGTAGCTTTAAATCAAGATTAAACCAATGACTGTTGTGGTGAAAATAGCATGTTTAATAAAATAGTACTTATTTTTCTGCTACATGTTTTATATTTCTTCACGATATTCGTTTCCCTATTTTAATCTTTAAACACATGGAAAACAAAGGCCCTGATTTTTGTACTTATCATGTATGTTAACGTTTAGAAATTTCTATGGGGGGAAAATTCTGAGAAAGGCTTGTAGCTTCACCACGAATGTTTGGAGCTACCCTATCTTTCAGAAGGAAAAATGTCAAATAAAGCACGAGTGGCCCATTTTGTTGGTTTCACTGACAGAAGAGGCCGAATGAGTTTGCAGCCATTAACCCAGCCTACGCCCCCCCCTCCACGCAATCGCCACGCGCAGCGGGCGGGCCGGTGCGGACGAGGTGCTGGCGTGGGGTCGGTCGTTCGAGCGTCTCGTACGCAGTCCCACGGGCCGCGCGCACTTCCGCCACTTCCTGCGCGGCGAATTCAGCGAGGACAACCTGCTCTTCTGGCTTGCGTGCGAGGAGCTGCGAGCCGGCACAGACGATACCTCCCTACCCGAGCGCATGAGGACCATCTATGAGGAGTACATTTCCATCCTTTCGCCCAGGGAGGTGAGCGTCCGTCGCTCGGTGTGGCACTCCCCACCCCCCCCCCTCCCCCAACGTAATTCAGCGTCTCACACAGCAGCAGCCTTCTTCTGTGCTCCGTACGGTCGCGTAGCATAGTTGGCATTGCCCCTTGTGCAGTGAATGAAACGGGGCTCCCCACTCTTCCATCACGGTCCCCCATCGCCGTGTGTATTCACACACACACGGTGATGGCAAGTTTCACACGAGTGTCTTCAACGATGTATACCGAGGCGTCTTTGTATCACGCGAGTTCACATGCGTACACACACCCACGAATCACGACCACCCGACGGCAAAAACCTGACACTGCCGCCCCTACCAACTCCCAACATCTGCCACCGCCCTCGGAAAATGCCAACGTTGCCAACGTTGCCTACTACGCCTAAAGCCGGCACTGCGAGTTCCCAGCCAACCGCCAGCACTCACCCCCCACCTTCCACCAACCCCATTTTCATAACCCAGCATCTGGGGCTCTCCAGCCCGTGGGCGCTAGTACATTCCTAGTACATTTGCGCCACCTGCACACTCGATAGCTTACACCACTTGTCTCAATCTCTAATCCCGGGTACAGGGGACCAGGCGGATGATTTATGCCACCGTGTGCGCAGGTAAGCCTCGACTCGCGCGCCCGCGAAGCCATCAACGAGGGGATGGAGGAGCCGGGCGTGGGCACGTTCGACGAGGCGCAGCAGCAGATCTACATGCTCATGCAGAGGGACTCGTATCCGCGCTTCCTCGCCTCCGAGCACTACCGCTCGCTGCTCCAGGGCGCCCCCGACAAGAGCACGGCAGCCGTCTCGCAGTGCGTGGATGCCAGCCCCACGGTGGTCAAGCCGTGACTGAGACTCTCTTAAAATCCCTTTTCTGCAGGGACTCGCGCCCCGTAAACCCGAGGCGACGCCATCCCGGGATTTGACTGTGCACTCTCAAGGACAGCAATCATACGGTGGCTCACGCCGCGGCCGAATGGGTCTTCACGACTGGTGCACGCCTGCAAGGGTTGTTAAGTTATATTCAGGTATATAATAGTAATAGTAAGCGAGGACCGTGACCAATAAGTGGCAACCGAGAAGCCATAAAAATCGTGCATTAGCTCAAGTCATATACGTCACCTCTAAATATATTAATACATATACGTACCCTACTACTCCCGTTACATAGTCATGTGCTTGCATGTTGACCTTTAAACACAAAGATGGCGTAGGGACAAAATACATGTCTCCGCATCAAGATATTTAAACAAATCATACAGGATTTAAATAATTGCTGTTGTTATACATTGGTCCACAGGGCCCATAGGTTAATAATTATTTTTATGAGGAGAGATCAACTTTTGTCTGTCCATGTTACCCATGATTCTCTGCAGTAGTATATGATTTTTTACATGTAAATTATGTATTTGCTTTGACATAGTGTATACATACACAATTAAACTTTTTTCATATTTAATATGGTCACACTTATCCATGCCATATGGGTGGTGTTCCTTAATTTCTCCCGTCTGCACTGTGTATCCAGCATTATATTTTTATAACAATCGACCACATTGGATCATCTCAATTCAGTCGAAGTTCATGGTCAGTAGTTGCTCACGAAATGGTCATGGGAAAAATGTAGAAAGTAAATATTTAAATAACTCCTCTTAAAACCGCTGTGCCACTCTACGCTCCCTCCTGACTCTACCTCTCGCCTCTTAATTCTGACCCCCCCCCCCCCCCCCAATACTTGACCCAAACCCCATTAACTCCCCCATGCCCCACACGCGATGTCTCTCTGTACACGTCCACGCAATGCGCCAACTGTCAAAAAAAAACTCCAAGTAGCCTGCAATCACTTCCATGAAGCCAAGAGGCAAAACCTGGCCTGAAGTGGCCCCTACCACTCTTAATAAGCTACCGCTCTACACCATCTCAGAGAATGCATCACAAGCTCTGGTGGGAATTTTTTTTTTGTTAATAATCACTGTTCTCATGCCTGTAAGGAGGTCAAAAAAGCTTTTATACGTGCGCGTGCCTGACCGACATCTTGTATTTTTAAGCAGTAGCTTAGGCACTTTGTACCCAATACTGCGACTTAGAACATCGACAATACATTAACGAACACCTTGACTGTACGTGACTGAGTGTACTTGTGGTAAGTACTTTAGTTCCAAGAACAATCACATATCAGTGAGGTGGTGTTGTCGTGGCCAGACCTAATGTGGAAAAGGTGAAAAACGCTGTGCTATTTATAAACTTGAGGATATAGATCATATTGCCTCATCGTATTTTATGTGGCTTGTCGATACGTGGTGGTGGTACTGTTAGCGTTGCATCATCAATACGTGCAAACACTCAAGTAATTTATAAATATATAATCACACACCGAAACCACAAATCCCTGCCAAGCTCCTGTTCCAAAGCTTAATTATGTGTTGGTGACGAGTGACGTGTGTACACAGCTGCATTAACACTAAGTGCACACAAACCTAATGGCGTTGTACAAGGTACAACCAATCCATGTAATGTGTACTTAAGAAAGAGTACAAATACATGACAAACATGGCAAAAATTCCACCCTTTGCCCCAGTGCTAGGCACTGGGGTAAATGGTAGGCAAATGACACGTTACACCAAGACCAATTAAATAATGGCACACAACAATATACTCTCTTGGCCAATTGGGCATAAATACTGGAGTGTTGGTTTGACATTGCCTACCTTCTTCTACCACTCAGTGTGTTTCAGCAGTTCTCCTGCTGTATTTTTTCCACCTGATGACGATTGCTAGTGTTGCAATCGAAACGTTGTGATTTTTATTAATTATTTTTCTAATCTACGTGACTTTACCGAAAGACCCAAAGAGTATTCTGGCAGTATATTTCTTGTGCGATGCCTCAAGATGCCTTTTTAACCTTCAGGATTAAATGCGATAAAAAAAAAATTAATGTCACTGTATGTAAATAGGTATACCATTTGCAGGATTTATATAAAAAATACTTTTAATTCCATAGGGAGGCATGAGTTAACTATTTATCTTCCAATTATTGTTGACAGATGTGCAGTTGCCATATGCCTATCGGCAGAGCCGTCCGTAGGCTACGGAGAATAGGGGCGACGACCCCGGGCCCTGCACTTTGGGGGGCAACCATGCTTTGGCAAGAACATTAACGTGAAAAATGGAGATTGCTTCCATACGCGGTGGTTTGCACTGATAAAAGGAAACCACACTGAAAAAGTCAATCTTCCAAAAGGCAAATGTTTAGGAAGGATACACAGAAACACTAAAATCTGACATCTCACGAACAAATGCCTTTGCTTAAGAATGTTGAACATTTATTAAGCATTCATGACGATATATTTTCCTCTATAGACTACTCATTTACGTACCCATTTTAAGCCTTTGCTTAAAAATATGCTGACCTACTTAAATTTCCCAAAGCAAAAAAGGAATGTTTATACATCTTACAACTAGCGTCACTGAAATAGGTCGTTGGTATTGTAATCATTGTCAAAGAGTTTTCCATACAAAAAATGTTAAAAAATACAGCACTCTTCGACATTCTGAATTGTAATGAAATGTTTATAAAAAAAAAACTACTAAGCTAACAGTATAGACTGAAATATATTTTTACAAGACAAAAACCAAAACCAGTAGGACCTGTTAACAGTTAAAAGCTTTATTTCAGGTACTAAACAAAAAAAAATGCTAGTCACATTACTGTATTTAAAAACCAATATCAGTTGTGTTTTAACAGCTCATTACATATAAAAAATTAAACAATGATAACTAAACCTTGGCTTTTAAACGTGATACAGGATGGATTTCTCCAGTGCATCAACATGTTGGATCGTTGGAAAATGCCAATTTTGTTGCTCAAATTTCCGTTGGCAGTGATTTTTCTCCTCCCACGTGGCCATCGGGAATTAGCAGAACTGAAAACAAAAGCACAGTGTTTGCACCATCAGATATGTGTGAAAACTGAAGCATTTCCACCAATACTTGTAACACCACCTTTGTGCAGTGACTGCGAGATGGGTGTTTATAATTGGCGAGGGGTTTGGTCTGGAAGCAGACAGCCCTGCCATCTATTGCAGATATGAATGCGACTCCCCCCTTACCTTCCATCGGTTTCCACACTCATTGCAGAGGACGAAAGTGGTCATAGGCTCATCAGCACTTCGCGTTTGAACCTGGAGAGACGTCGGTAAAATGAGTGAGATATACATGACACACATTTAAACATGACATGATCGTCTTCTTGGTTCTTTGGGTAAAGTCACGTAGAATGGAAATGAAATAATACAAATAGAACATAATTATTTTAATTTAAAGCTTTCGTGACTGCAGTAATTCATATTCTTAGCTCTTTCGGTAAAGTCACGTTGAAGGGAAACAATAAAATATATATAACAAACCGACACACCTGATGACGACCGTTTGTGTTATGGTCGAAACGTCGTGAGATTTTTTATTGTTTTATATATTTATTATTTTATTGTTTCCCTTCAACATGACTTTACCGAAAGAGCTAAGATTATAATTATTTTATTTCCATTCTACGTGGTGACTTTACCGAAAGAACCAAGAAGATGAATCCCTGCAGTCACGAAAGCTTTAAATCGAAATTTATGACATGATCGGTCAAAGATTACCATGATGGTGCCACCTCAAAGTGATTACTGCTGCTGACAAAATAGTAATGATTATGTAAACAAATTCCAAATGGAATTTTCATAGGGGATTCAACAGTACATCGAAATGTGTGCATGGAAAAACACACAACAGGTAAACAGGGGTACATATTAGTTTGAGCTGTTATGCATGCTAGTATGCAACACTGCTTTATTCGTTTTATAAAACATATATTTCTTTACCCTTGTCCATTAAAAAAAACATTATCGGAGTAATGGTATCAATAAGCTCGGTGGTATATTTTTGGAGTGATCAGTTTAGGGGTTTTTGCAATTTTTTGTGAAAACATGTGAAGTGTCCTGTAATAGCAAGATGCAGCCAATCTATTCCCTTTATAAGAACATGAGCATCCATATTTGTGCCTTAAAACATTTGAGACCACTGGTACCAGCTCCTCCCACAGAAGATGACCGCTTGCGTCCCACACGAGGTTGAAACAAGATGTACAATCTAAGCTACGTGAAATGACATTTGGCAAATACAGCAATACCCCCGATTGTCGCCTTCCTGTTTCACGTACTTTCGCTATAACGTGCTAAACTTATCAATATCCAATCCCGTATTAACGCACTGTGGTACCTCGCCATAGGGTACTCAAGATTTATTAACTTTACCACGAAGATCCACATTCATGCGCTAGATGGTGCCCAAGCGTTGGTGTTCCTGACTACCGTAATCTCTCACGTATACATATTAATATTTTTTACCCCACATACCGTATTTATGGCGACTGTTTATACAAGCGTAAACATTTTTTTACGTGATAAACAACACGTGATATATAGAGTAAAATAGACAAGATGATATACCTGAATATATCTATAATATATACCTACTTTTCACAACGATGGTGGTACAGTATAAATGTGCAATGGGTTACTGAGCATCCTGTTTAGGGTTCTGTACCACGTTACTATCCGCCATCCCATCTCTTTGTTTCGATTAAAGTACTTTCGATTGACGTTCTGGTTTTCAGGAATGCATCCTTGGTATAAACCGGGATATGCAATAATAGCACTCCCCCTACAGTCCAAACATTATTTAAAACCGATTAAATTAAATCCCAGTCAAATGAGTTTAACAGGTGAATGCTGGGTGGTAAAAATACATGCGTTCTTTACCCAGAAAAACCTGAGTCACAAGAATACTTCCAAGAGGGTCCCTTGATTGGGATGTTTGGTCAACTTGTAGCACAAAACGGTTTTGCCCATGGTGAAGCCATACCAAGAGATACCAGACACCACACAAATAGCCTTCCGCAACCTACTTGCTAGAGTGCACCTTGGTAGCTCTGCATGTGGGTGTCTCATACGACCTAAACACAATCCACGGACCTCACCTTCTTCACTACCACACCGAGCGTCCTCCAGAAACAACTGATATCTCGATTAATCTGTTACGTGTGTTAATCTTGCAGTTAATTCCGAGCAGTTCATGCTCCACAGAGCTGGAGCGGTGGGAGTCCTCCCGGGATACTCGCCTGCGTGTAGGTGGTGTTCTTCTTCTTGCATTTGCCACAGCTGAACAGGTCGGACACAGTGCCGCCAGTCTTGGCCATCTGGTGCTCACGGATGGCCTCCTTTGTCATTGCCTTCCTGATCTCCTTGAGCTCGTCGCTCGCCATCTCCTGCAACAGCAGGAGGAGGATACGCAGTTTGACGTCGGCGCCAAGTCTCCGCGCAGTGCATGGTTGGGTACCAGTCAAAACGACGGTTGACATTTGCCTTACAATTGTCTCATTTACTGATATGCGGAGTACCGCAGACCGGGCAGTATTGAATGGGCCGCCACGGTGGCGAGATGCCTGGTATACAGGAGCTTGTGGGTTCGATCCCCACTGTGACGCCTGAATATCTGGAGTTTACATATTCTCTTCCCGTGGTCACGTGGATTTTTCTCCAGGCCCTCCGGTTTTTCCTTCCACATTTAGAATTATGCTGTTTGAGTATTTGGCTGCTATAACTTTCCACATAAGCCACTTTGCTGAGCTATCATTTGTGGCCAGGTCGCTTCTGGAAAACAGCTATATATTTAAGCCTTACCTGGTAAAATAAAAATATTTTTCAAAAGATCGGTGTTCACATGTTTCTTCACTACATACAACAGGCACTATTTTATTTTACACCAATGCTTTCAATTACCCATTTTCACTGCGAATGGTGATTGTAATAACAAAATACTGATCTCACATTACTGTTATTCCACCAGTTGAATAGATTTGGCTTACACATGTGGAATAGTTTACATTTAAATTGTTAAGCAATGCTTCATTATATTTCTGAAAGTCGTTTTAACATTCTAGACACTAAACGAAATGCATTGACATGGTAAATCCATATCATATATACTGATGAGCTGCATTTGGTTACATTTTAGAAACACCTGCATTCGACTCATATTCACCATTCATTGCCTATGCCTCAATTTTGCACCCACTGTGGAGTTGAGGGGGATGGAAAAGACGAGTCTTGCTGATCTGGCTTTTTAGCTCTGGTTCAAGCAAGCAACAATGGGTTGAATGGCCTTGTCATTCGATAACATTCTATGTTTGTGCGTTCACAAAAACTCCTCCCCGTCATCTCCATCGGTCTTTTGCACTAATACACTACACTGCTGATACAACCTCGGTATAGCATCAGTTCATCCCAACAAAGCATGTAATAGCAGTAGAGGTGGGGGGAGGGGCCTAAGAAAGCAAGGGGCGCAATAAGTTTAGGACAGAATTGTAAAGGGTAGCTTCCCCGTAGAAGTGTGTTCATAAAAAGAATTAAAGCTTTCGCGACTGCATAAATGACTCATTGGTTTTTTCGGTAAAGTCACGTATGTAGAAATACCACAAAATTATATTAAAACAAATCAATCGCGACGTTTCGACCGCAACACAAAGCGATCTTCATCAGGTGTAAAAAACAAATAGCGAGGGAGCACATAGGGTGACATCAACGCAACACATAGAGAGCGTTAAACTGCACGGAGGTAAATACAACAAGAAGATGAGAGGCGAGAATTCAACAAACCTAAGAAAAAATTACGTGCTGCAAAACCAGTCGGCCAACGACACAGTTAGACACTTGCCTGGCGGACCACGAATTTCAGAAGAGTGCTAAATTTCGTGTTCATCCTCTGGGTTGAACATACCAGCATAGACAGTGAACAAATACGAGGTACAAGATAGCAGAAATACATATACAGGGACACCAAGAGGCAAGGAGAGAAAAGACAGAGAAGCAAGAAAAAGGGCCGGAGGGATGAACAGAGGCTTAAAATAAGCAGCAGAGGTGGGGGGAGGGGCAGAAAAAAGCAAGGGGCGCAATACGTTTAGGACAGAATTGTAAAGGTAGCTTCCCCGTAGAAGTGTGTGTTCATAAAGAATTAAAGCTTTCGTGACTGCATAAATTACTCATTGGTTTTTTCGGTAAAGTCACGTATGTAGAAATACCACGACGTTTCAAAACGTCGTGATTCATTCGTTTTAATATAATTTTGTGGTATTTCTACAAGCGTGACTTTACCGAAAAAAAAAAAAACAAATGAGTGAGTGCACGTAATAAGCTCTCCACCAACCACACCCAGGGGTTTCAACAGAAATGCAGAAATGTATTTCACATTCAGTATCTAAAAAATCTAACTTTTTTCCATTCAAGCCAAAACGAGGACCAAGAGCCACAGCGCTTCCTGGTGGTTGCGAGCTGCACCTCTGCGGTCATCCTGGCAATTTTTTCCGGCGTGATGTTGCCACAGAGGACGTTCTTGCGAAGCTCGGGGTTTTTCACATCCTTGAGGTTGCTGATTCGGCTCCTCACACGATTTTTGTACTTCATGTCTGTGTTCTTCATCTCTTGGAAGATGAGTGCGTGGTGTCAAAGAATTTACCCGGGCTGTTCAGATCACAAACGTCCCATGTAAAAATAAAAAAAAATCTCAATATATTGCAAACATTAATGGTAGTTAATTACATATCCAATAGGCCTTAATGTAATACTTCAGATGGAATTAAAGTTGATCAAGTATGTGATTAAGTGTGTAACATGAAATACAAAGGATATATTC